AGCCTGTCCTGGATCTCACTCTGTAGACCAGGCTGGCCTCGAACTCACAGAGATCCCGATGGGATTAAAGGCGTGTGCCACTGCTGCCTGGCCGCTTGGCTTTTTCTTAAACTTGGGTTCCAGGGATCAAACTCAGGCTGTCAGACTTTTGCAGCAAACAAGTGATTCTACCCACTGAGCCACCTCACCTGACTTTGATTGTTCTCGTTTGCCTTCTATCACTGTGACAGAACTGACAGAACCGACCTGTGGAGGGAAGGATTGATTTGGCTCCCGTGTCCCAAGGCACCGTCCATTACTGAGGAATGTCAGGACAGGAACTACAGCAGAGAACTGGGAAGAACATTGTTTACTGGCTTGCTCCCCATGTCCGGCTCAGCTTGCTTTCTTATATTACCCAGGACCACCTGCCCGGGGGTGGCTCTCGCTCTGGTGTTCAGGTTCCTCCCGTATCATTTATGAATCAAGAAAATACCCCACAGGTTTCCCGACAGGCCAATCTGAAGGAGACATTTTCTCAGTTGACATTCCCTCTTCCCAGATGATCCTGGCTTGTGTCAAGCTGACAAATAAGATAAACAAAAAAACAGCCAGCACAACAATGTCATTGACTGTATAATGAGATGTCTCAATCTGGTCATCCTGTATCCTTCCATTCTAATTTTCTATTATACTGTCTGAGACGTCTCACTGAAGCCCAGGCTGACCCGGGACTCTGTAGCCGGCTGTTAATCCTTTGTTTATCCCTCACTCGCCTTCGCCCTTCTCTTCCCTCCCTGTCTTATCCTCAGCCATTCTGTGCCATTGTTCCGAAAGCCTATGCCCTGCCTTGCCCAGGCAAGACAGCAAATCATTGCATAATCCCTTCTCTTCCTGGCTCCTGATCGGCTGCTCCGGAGGTGGATGTATAGAACCTACCACCTCTACTTGTAACCCACTTGGGAGTGAGAGTGTTATTTTTAGGCACAGTAATGTAAAAAGCTCTTGCTAGACTGTTCTGGGGGCAGGGGAGTGTCCTCAGCCCTTCGGGGAAATGAGGGATTCTTTTTCTATTCCAGCCAGTAGCCAGAGTGGGTTGTCTGTAGGAGCAGGGACAGTTCACTGCTCCCTTCTACCCCGGTTTTAACAGGTGCTTAACCATCGTAAGTGTTGAGAGCTTTAAACCACTGGGGCTTTAGGGTGTCTTCCTGCTTAGTGGCCTATTATAATAAACCATTTCTGCACAGATGTAGCATCTGGGTTGTAAATGTCCACCCGCCACCCTGCTGCCATGCCCGCATGGAGTGGGTCCCTTGCCAGCCTGCTGCTGCATCTGGCTAGCATGCCAGCATGGTTCCCTGCACAAGTGGAGTACCCTGGCCCAGCCAGCTGGGGGTTTCTCACTCGTGAATAATTCATAACATTCACTTCATCAGGTTTGTTGGTAAGTGCCTTTCTTGCTGAACTATTACACTGCCTCTTCCTACTTTGTGTGTGTGTGTGTGTGTGTG